TTAGATGAGGTTCACTTACTAGATCTTCTTCTTGTTTTTGAAGTTGATGAAGTTGTTTTTGCAGATCTATTTCCTCTAGAGGACGTTGCTCTGCCAACAATTTTGAGTATTCATTGCATTTACGTCCCAGAAATATCAGGCCGTTGTTGAACCACCTTATATCATCCTTAATTTTTTCCTTCTGCTCTCTCCAGAAAGACCAAACATCTTGCAAGTATACTTTAAAACGATTGTTGGTCAATAGGGAAGTATTTAATTTATAGAAACCTTTACCTTGCTCCGTCTTTTTTCTAAAAGAAAGCAATACTGCTGTCATAGCATGATCGAGGCCAGGGAAAACACTTCGAGGGAAGATCTCTGCTATTTGAAGGGCACCTTCTAGTTCCTCTGATAAAAGTATGAGATCTATGCGAGATTTTGATGCTTTACGCGTTAGGCTTTTCCTGAAACATGTGAACTTGCGTTTTGTAGGGAAAAGACGTCTGTAAGCATCAAAAAGATTGAGCGACTGGCATAGTCCTTCAATTATTTGCTTGTCCCTCTCCATGTATTGTGGACAGGGGGAGGGGAGCTGCCAACGGTCCATCTGTCTATTTGGTGCTGCATTGAAGTCTCCTGCCATCACTACTGGAATACCGGCGGGAAGGCGACTCTTTAGGGATTCAAAGAAGCGGCCTCTTTCTCCTATCTCATTGGGACCGTATACACACAAGATTGTCACTACTTCAATTTCCAGCATAGCCAGGAGAAATACCCATCTTCCTTCTTCCTTATCTGCTTCCCAATAGAGGGGGTCAATCCTTGAGTCAGGGGGAAGCCATATTGCTACTCCTGCGCTCCCTGGTCTAGGCGCGTGTGCTCTGAAGGCCTGATGGGGCCAAATCTGTTTGTGGGTGTGATTGTGGTCTGCGTTATCCATTAAGTGTGTTTCTTGAACACAGATGGCGTCAGACCATTCCTTACCTTCCACTCCTCTTAGTTGGTCGTAAATCGCTTGCCTTTTTTGTTGTTTGGCCGATGCTAGACCATTTACATTGAGTGATCGAAGGTCTAGATCTGTAGCTCTTTTTAGGAGTTTCCAGTCTTTATTCCTATTGTATAGCACTTCTAACACATTTGGACCCTCYATAATTAACATTACTCAATCAATCAGTTATGTGTGGAATGGCTTACAAGGTCAACCAATGACCTGAGTCCAGCTTACCACCTTGGCCAAGTAGGCTCTGACCATTCTTTATAAGGCRGGAGAGCAGAATCGTGGAATCAACTTATGTCCAGAAGTCACCGGCCTTGATCTTCATTTGTTGGAGCTCTGTTAGCGTGTCTTGAGTGAACCACCGTAAGTTAACTGCTCGTGAGTGCTTGTATCTAAGGAACACATCCTTAGCTGATATCCTATGAGCGTCAGAGGATAGGTTGAGGACAGCAGTACCCCCAGGCGGGAGTTGCATTTGAATAATTTTAATCATTTCAACTTTGAAACGTTCTTCCCCTGACATCTTACCAAGCAGGGATGAGAGCGGGTCTACTGGGGCTCCATGTACTGTTACCTCTCCATGATTTGAACCTGTTAGTTCTGACAAACCGTAGGATTAGCACACCAGGTTTAGATAGAGCCGTGTCAAACATAAACAGGCCTCACATCACTTGTCAGGCCCGCCTTCACTTAGGGCGGCCTTTCTCGCTGAAACAGGGCCCAGTAGAGCTTTCCGAGGTTTTTAGCCTTGCATGACAATAAAAGAAAGAGCAAGGACCAATGTCCAATTCCTCTCCTTACTGCTGACAGCACATATGGTCCACCATAGCCAAGGCCTCCATCTTCTTCCACCTAATTGATGTGGTTGGCTATGATGGACTTCAACATTCTACCCCGGATGTTCACAGGACAATGCAAGGCTTATGAGCCTCTCCCATCATGGCCGCCATGCCCTGCACTACTGCTGAGTGTCTTTGGTGCAGCGCCTCCCCAACTGGGGTCTTATTGAAGCAGCGCCCACTAGAAGATGAAGATGCCGACCTCCACTCTCCTCGTAGACTCGTCTTTCCTCCTCCTACAGCGGACGCTCCACCATAGCCAAGGTGGGAGCTTCCAGTCTCCTTCCTCTTCCTAGCGCTGGAGTGCACTAGCACAGCTCCACCCAGCACTCCAGCAGCCTGACACCCGACTGTTTTCACGAAGAATGAGGCGGAGCAATGACTGTTCCGCCAATGTATATTGGCTGGACTGCCCTTGGGCGTTGACTCCCTGGCCTCTCGGCATCCCCAAACTACCGGTACCTCCTCCAAAATGGAGGGAAACATCATTGCAGGCCAGATATCTACTCTACAGACCCAGCTACCGAACTTGTAAAACTCACGCTAGACCTAAAGGTACCAACTTTTGTCTTTCTGCTTGGCCTACTGCTACTTGAGTGCCTACCACTACTTGAGTGTGCCCTAAGCTACCACTTGGCCGGCCCTCGGTCACTCGAGTTTTCCCACTGCAGCCCTCACAACCACAGCCACAGGTAAGTACCAGGACTGCGGGCCTTTCCAAGCACACAAGTACCCAGACAGGTCACACACACACTCAACACTCAGACATTGAGACAGACACGTAGAAACCAGCAAGCACAGACACATACACACAGACTTAGAAATCAAAGCAGAAAGCGGGAATCTCAGCAAAGCACTCATTCCAGTGGCAAAACTCAGAAAAGAGCATGGTTGTCAGTCTGAGATTTTGTAGGTCATTACATCCGTTGGATCCCTTGATTTCCCAACCTTGATGTCCAAACATTGGCAATACACAAAATAATCCCCAATGTCCCAACCTGACATTGTAATTAACAAGGCAGTCAAGGCAATGCACAGTCTATGCTGGACATTACATGGATTCTGTTCAGCCCTTTCACACTATAGGTTATTAGGTTGTCAATATCAGGCGGTTATCATTTGCTTTCAGATGCCCTTCTACACCATTACCTCCGAGCCTCTTTTGCCGAGGTGGAATAGAACTACGCGCGCGTGACCTTTTTTTTTCCGTTTTGGCTGGCCCCACCAGCAATTTTGGTCCGGTGGTGCCTGGCCTCTGAAGAATGCGGATACATTATATTTTCGTTTTGAGTTTGCCTGTGAGAGGTAGCAGTGGTTTAAAATCACCGCTACTTTTGATATCCCCCGAAATTCTACTGCCAATTTCGTGCCTGCTGCACAATATAGGCTGTCAATATCAGGCAGTCGACAATTCCTTTTAGATGCCCTTGAATCCACCACTACTTCCAATATCCCCTGAAATTTCTACGTTTATGTATGTAGCAGGGCCAAATAATCCTTGGTAACAGGTTGTGAGTCGGACCTGTATCTCTTTATGTGCCATTGTAACAAGCTATGCAATGCACCCAGCAGCAACGGGCACAGCTGTATCAGGCCCAGCAACATTAGGCCCAGCAGAAACGGACTCGACACTGTCAGGCCAAGCGATAACCGACCTGCTACTGCTGTTTTTTTTTTGCAGGCTGTTACCAAAACGGGCCCAGTGGTAACCGGCTCAGTACCGCTGGGCTTGTTTCCCAGCTTGTTACAGAAAGTATCTTGGAGCCATTATCACCGTGTAACACAATCTGATAACAGGCTGTGATTGCATCACACACAAAACCTGTGGTTGCGTTACGGCCTAGAGGACTGCCAGACCTGGGAAAATCTAAGGGGAAGTCCCCCCTGGTGCTATGTCTGAGCTGTGCTAGCAAATCTGGCAAGTTTTGAGTCCATTCTCAGTATGAACGTAGCACCGTGGGGCCCGGTCCTAACAGTAGCCGTGAAGTTGTGGGAGAAGTTCAGGAAGTCTAACGGATTTCGCGCAGAAGAGACGCGAGCCATGCAATGCCAACCTGACTAGGCCTCCTAGCCTGCTTTTGCAAAAGCAGCTATGATGCCACTTGGGAACCCTCCTCTTCCTACTAGCTGTGCATGCGCCCAGCAGCTAAAGCAATTTTACATGGCATCAGCTGGAAGCGGGAACGCTCGATAGATACTCAACAATGAAGTAGCATGAGAATGCCACAATGAATGCAGGAATGAGAGCGGATTGTGTTGGTGCACTGCTGGCTGAGATGTGAAGTGTTAGGCTGCACCTCCGACGAATGCATGAATGATAGCGGGAAATGGCTGGGAAGGCAACGCTAGTTTTTACTTAATGCCATTAGCGAGTGACTGGGGCAGAGAGCCCATGTGATGGAAACAGTGAGACTAGAAAACTTGTTGACTTTTGATCCAAAGGGACCAGTTTGGCCTTTTGATCCAACAGGACCAACCAGTTTCGGAGGGACCAGTTTGGCCAGAGTTTGGCCAGAGTCTTCTGAAGTCTAGGACTCTCCAACAATGACGGACTGGCCAAGGGGCTTCAAAACGACTCCTGCTTTAAGTTGGCACTGACCTTGGAGGAGCCTTCATGGCGAGCATATTGTCCGAAAGCAGTTCTTCTTGACGCCGATGAACTTCACTCCTACTACTTGTGAGTTCCTACATACACGTGGCACTGCTGGTGAATTTCGGCAAGCACATCACTACTGCACAATGCCTTGGACTTTGGCTGAGTGCTGCTCTCGTTCTAAGTCCATTTACACCTGTTACTAGACTGTTATCTTGAACGTCCGAACGCAATTTGTGTTCTTTGTGCTTGATTGGTCGAATGCTGTTCTCTTCCTCAATTACTTGTTTTTTTTTTTTTGCCATTTGGACCATTTCTCGATTTATGTGTCATCCTAGCGCAGGGGCCATGCTAATCTTCTCTGTATCATTCCAATTTTAACGGATGTCCCGAAGGACACTCTTCCTCAATTACTTGATCAATGCTTTTGCAAATTTACATGCCTTTTTCCTTTTTTTTTCCTTCACTTGGTCAATGTTTACATGCCTATAACTGCTTCACACGTGGAAAGCAAGAGTACGGAAAAAAGCAACGAACCCACTTGTCAATTCGAACGAGAGCAAACACACATCTGACGGCATGACAAAACTACCTTGAGCACAGAGAAGACAGACCCATACGCATCCGATTTTGAAACCTCTTCTCGCAAAACATTCTCGCACACAAGCCGGCGGAGGATCCGTTCCGCTTCTGTTTTCTGGTACTTCTTGCCAACTCCATGCAGTTCGAGGCAGTCATGTTTGAACTTCTTAATCTGTTTCACAACAACAAAGAATCAAAAGCAATCAATCTATCAGAGGATTGTCAGCGATGCATGCGCACAGCATGGCATTCCACTTCTGACTATCGTCAGTGCCTACAACATTTTCTAAGATCATACTTCATGCACAGGCATGGACTTCCATGCGAGGTCAGGTCTGAGTTCTTGAACTGAATCCACCTTTCACAACAGCCCTGGTTGCCAGGATGCCAGTCCTTTTTCAGCTGCCCTATGCGATTAAAAATCCGCATAAGGTTGCAATTTTTCCCGCCCTCCTCCTGCATGGGTTGGACTGATTTTTGGGGACGTAGATGTGGTTCAAAGCCGCCGCACATGCAAGCTTCTCCAATAAAGGACTAGCAATACACATAAAGGCGCCCTGTGCAGCCTACGTAAGTCAAAGAAAAAGAAAGCAAGGTGAAAGGAAAAAGACCTTAAAACTTAAAAGACTAATCTTTGCCAATTGTTTGAAGATCTTGCAGTCACATCTGCTTCAACCCAAGGCTCCATGAAAATCGCCCTGGAAGAGTTTGCGGACTGCAGAGAAGAGTTAAACCACCAGTACATCGCCCAGCTATCAAGTCCGAGGCTCATGACATTCGCCTAAAAATAAACTACGCAAAGACTCCCGATTTGGAACACACAAGCGTTTATTCCCGGCCGTCTCAAGGAGCAGCAGGCTGTTGACCAACACAAACTCTTCGGCAGTTGCTTTGTCTTTCACCTCGAGTCTGCGTATGATTTCGGCCATAAACGGATCCTCGCGATAGGCTTCCACCAAAGACTGAGTAACATTGTCCGCAAGCCCAAATTCAGTGACCAGAGCACCCAGGAAGTCTGGCCTACGCGACAACGCATCAGCAACCTTCTTATACTCCCCCTTGATGTACTGGGGCTCAAAGTCATACTGCTCTATGACTTCGATCCATCGCTTCAAAGCATCGGAGAGTACCGGTTGAGTCTTCATCCACCTCAGGGTCTGATGATCAGTCCTGACGTAGAAGAAGCGACCTAGGAGGTAGCCTCCAAGGGGTTAGCACTTTGTAGATCGCATAGAGCTCCTTCTCATAGGTTGACTTGTCCAAGTACAGCACCAATGCCATATTGGCTGGCATCCGTAGTCACAACGAAAGGTTTCTCAGGATCAGGAAGTTTCAAGACCTCATGGTGTGTCAACGCATGCTTCAGATGTCTGAAAGCAGCCTCACACCTGTCTGTCCACTCCCAWGGGGTGTCAAGGCGTGTCAGGTCCGTCAAAGGGGTGGCCACCATGCTATAATTTTGAACAAAGTTGCCGTAGTAGCCTGTCATCCCTAAGAAGGACCTCATCTCAGTCACAGACTGAGGACGCGGCCAGTCACGAATGCTGGCCACCTTCGCGTCATCGGGCTTCAATCCCTCCGTAGAAATCTCATGACCCAGGTACAAGATCCGGGTGCGGCCAAACTCACACTTCTCCCGGTTGATCTTGAACTGGTGCTGTTTGAGGAGGCTAAGGACTTTATCTAAGTGGGTAACATGCTCCTCGACAGTCCTACTAAAGATAAGTATGTCATCGAGGTACACGATGACAAACTTGTCCAAGTAGTCATGAAATATCCGGCTAATCGCGTGCTGAAAGGTGCCAGGAGCATTGCAAAGGCCGAAAGGCATCACCAAAAACTCGTACAGACCGTACCTGCTGTGAAAAGCAGGTTTTGTGTTGATCCTTGGGCCGGATTGCAATCTGATGGTACCCCGACTTCAGATCTATCTTTCTGAAGTACCGGCACCCTTGCACTCGGTCCAATAAGTCATCGATGCGCGGTAGGGGCATTGCGTTCTTCGCAGTGATGGCATTGCGGCCCCTATAGTCAATGCACATCCTCAAGGTTCCCCCTTCTTTGGTACGAATAGTACAGGTGATCCGTAAGGGGAAACACTAGGCGGGATCCAACCCTGCTCTATGAGATCCTTGAGTTGCCGGCGAAGCTTATCGAGCTCACCTGGAGACATCCGATAGATCCTACCCTTTGGAATGCTAGACCCTGGGATAATCTCTATCACATGGATGACCTCCCTCTCAACAACCCCTTTCGGCTCTTCGAATAGATCAGGGTACCTAGCGACCACTCCCTTATCTCAGGAGGCGTTTTCACCGGCTCACCCTCTGCAGAGACGTAAACTAGGTACATACCCTCCTCTGGATTTTGCTTATAGTAATTGTAAAACGCAGTCGCACACATGCGCCTGAGGACTCGATCAGACTACTAGCTTTATACTTAAGCAATTTGGCGGTCCCTCCGTTGGGCAGCGTGTGTTTGACTATTTTTCGGTCTCAGTCAAATTGGGGCTGAGCAACCAAAAGATAGTACATACCTGACAAGATATCCATAGGGAGATCATCACTGACTAGGAGCGGGACTCTCTGTCTCAGTTCGCCTCCCGCGTACGGGAAAAGACACTCAATGTCTTTAAGGTAGTCGTTTACTAGCATGCGCTGTTTGTTGGCACAGGTCGACTCCACAGGTCGACTCAGGTACTGCACTTGCCCCTGTAAGCGCAGCCTCTCAACTCATGCGCGACTAATGAAGTTCCGCGTCGAGCAAGTGTCATGGTGGGCCCCGACCTTACGATCGCCGATGACTACCTCGCCGACGAACAACTCACCCTTAGGGGCTTTGGCCATAGCCGTCCAAGAAGCTAGCGGGTCCAATCCAAACCACTCCTCCTCTAGCTCCTCTAAGGACTCGAACACATTCAGCGAACAAAGGATCACTGGGTCCAAATGAGTATGCGGGACGACGATGGAGTCAATAGCTTGGGCCATCTCTCGAGATGGCGAGGGTGTGTCCACCACCTCGACCCTAGCAGGAACAACTACTATTCCTACTGGCCCGACGTGTTTCCTGAAGTAGTGCCAGAACTGCTGGCCACATTGCTACCTACGGCAGCGGAGGATCCCAAAGCCTGCCCCATCGTAGGCGGGATCTTTTCGGTCACCTTCTTGTTGCGGCACTTGAATTGGTTGTGGCCATATTGACCACAACGAACATAGGCCTGCCTGGTATACCGGTCTCTCCACATATCCTTTGTCAAACCCGCTTTCTCCCATGGAGGAGCATTAGGGTCAACTTGACTCCTAGACCGGGAACCTCCACGGCGTCTACCGGTCGCCTTACCTTTCTGAACAGAGGCAGCAACTGTTCCACCCCCTGAAACTTCTACGCTGCCCGCCTCTGAACCCACTCCCGCCTGGAAGTCATCTTCTAACTCGATGGTAGAACCATCGTTGTCGACGAACATTATGCGGCCTTTCGCCTTCCAGTTGGGAGACAGTGTCTTCTTCCTACCGTCCGTTGTGGGTGTATGTCCATGCCCTATCTTTGCCTCTAGGTCTAGGGCCTTCTTGCTGAATGAGGGAAAGTTGTGCATATTAATGTTGGCCTCACCTGCCAACTGAGTCTTGAGAGGCAAAGGAAAACATCTCAGGTATGCAGTGAGTAAGACCTAGGGGTCATAGCGTACTCCAGGAACACAGATCAGACGCTCTACTGCGTTTGTGGCTTCTCTTACTGACTTGAACTGCCTGTTGTTCAAAATCAGGATCGCGTCAGTGGCCTTCTGAGCCACCTGAGGATCATGCCACCTAGCTTCCACCCGCTTAAGGAAGTCTCCCAGTTTCTGGTTAACTTCCCAAGCGCGGAAGTCATGACCGTATCCCTGTAGCTGCACTAAACCACTCAACCATCTTGCTGCACTCCCCTCTAAATAGGAGGCAGCCACAAACACTTCCTCGTGTGGCAAGGTCGATTTACATTTGACATAGACTGGCACTGACCTCCACCATGTGTCGAGGTCTTCGCCCCTCTCGTCCTCTGTAAAGGGTTTGGGGGAGGCGATGGCCGTCTTCGAAACCCACTGACTTTGTCCCGGTACCTGTCCCCCTCCAGGCTGTGGACCTTGGGGACCAGGCTGCTGCGCTAGCTGCTGCTGGGGCTGTGTACCCTGCGGCTGTGGAGGCTACGAGACAGCAGGCTGCCCGGTTACGCAACCTGGAACGGAGGTACACTATACAGGAACCTGTACACTAGGACCTGCTGAGAACCTGCCTGTCAAAGGCATACTCAGGGAAACGACTTTGATCGATACTGGAGAGACATATGGGGAGACTCCAGTTACCGGTGGGACAAAAGGAGGAGGATGTACAATGGGCCAGGCACCGGGCCCGGATGGCGATGGACCTGCCTGCGCCCGCCCGACCAATAAGGCCAAACTCTGTTGGATGTCCTGTAAAAGGGCCGTCTGGTGGTCCTGCATTTCTACTACATCTAGCAGGACGGTCCGTAGGGTTCTCACATCATTATTCATGTGCGTCAGCTCCATCTCCTCTAACTCACTAACGTCCGCTTGTCTTCGCTGCATCCTAGCTCTTCTTCTAATCATTTTCTCTTTCTCTGCCTTGATCTCTCCTAACTCATGCTGTAGCTGTGCCTCACGAATAGCTGCTTGCTGTATGGCGACACTATTGGCTGGCTTGCCATTATGCCAGTGGACTGACTCAGGGTCTGTGCGACCATCGACCCTACAGTCCCTGAACTACTAGCCTGAGAGCTCCGCTGCGCAGCAGTTGCCATGGCTGCTGAAGTAGCGGCCTCACTCACGAATGCCCTACTTGCCTCTCCGGCCCTAGCCCTTCGCTGCTGCTGCTGTCTCTCTCTGCTGGCAGAACAAGTATCTGTCGCCATCTAGCCCTAATGCCAAGTGGGCTATCGGGGCGTCTTGCCGATCGCAAGATCCTATCGTCCGGTTGTGGGACCTCCCCGAGTCCCTGTCACTCATGTATAGACCGACAGGCATGTTCGGATTCCTACAAACGAGACTATTTCTACTTTGACTAGTTCACTAACAAAAAGCACAATGAACAAAGAACAGTTCTAACTATGCCGTCTGTCAGATGTTAATGGCTGTACATCTAACTAATCAAAAATAAAAATAGAATCATTTGATTCTGTTTGCAGAGTGGAATTTTTCCCAAACTTATCACCTGGAATCTACCCCTCCCTCAGTTCTTCCTGAATGTCTCTTGTCGTCACGTCAACGTCCCTGAGCAATCCGGAACAGCGTGTGTGTCTAAAGGTGTGCACACGACCCACCCCTGTGCCCCGAGTCCTGCTCAGCTGGCCAGCCCTGCACAATATTTATCCTCGCGTGCAGCGAGCCTTACACCGCCCGATTGGCTGATCAGGAGGCATGTTTTTATGGACGGCCCCCGAAGTCCTCAGGAATTATTTAACGTCGCAGACAGGACGATGATCACAACCAATCGAAGGTCCCCGCCGGTACTTATTTATAGACGTCCGGTACTCGTCTTTCCCGTAGGGCTGGCCTGCCCCTCAGAACCCATCTATAGCGCAACGAGCAGACTAAGGACAAAGCAGCAAAGCATGCATGCTCTACTTCCGGTGGGTTGGCATGGTGACCGTGACCCAGTGCTCCGTCCAAGGCCCTTCAGATAGCTCCTCCCTCTCCCTCCAGATGCTCCACGTGAACAATGCCGACTCTCAAGGTTGAGCGCACTCGACTCCTCACATGAGAGGACTCTCAAGACATAACACACATCCTCATGGTAAGAAGTGTTGAAGAGGGTAGATAAGGTTAGGTGCAACGTACCTCGAAATAGCTTGCCCCCAACCACATATATTCTCACCAGATGACCCGATGCCGATTGTGATGACCAATCGCTGCTTCGGCACAACCAGCATTACACCGCCGTTCCACCTCAGCATCAATCGCACATCAGATAGTTCTCATCACACTGCGAACACCCAATACTCCCACGTAGCCTTCCTGGCGATCCCCTCTCCTCCTGGGTCGCCTGCTTGCCTTCACCCTCCTCACTACACACTCCCTACAGCCGCTCACCCGGCAGACCGCATGCATGTACCGCATAGGCAGACGACAAGCGCCAGATGAGCGCAACGTACCACAACTCCGATACCAAATTGCAAGGAAAATGAGCAATAGCGAACTTCAGCAATCAAACAGCATCATACACATGAGACCAGATAGTCGTGACCTCGAAACAGAAGCAGAATTGCATCACGAGTCCCACCATATAAGAACACACCAAAGCTCATAAGTGATATTGTTCGAATAGTCTCATCATCATCAACAAAGAACCAATGTTGACATTATATCTGGCGCTCTGCGCCCAGACTATAAATGGCAGATCCTATCTAGCCTATCTACAATGCCGCTGGTGACGTCAACAGCTCCCCGAAGTACGAGCAGATCTCGGCCAATGCCGTACGCTCCAAGCACCAGGTATGTCTCTCGTATCACTCACAACCTCGATCCCCCACTCACAGATGCCCGTGCACCCAAGGACCACCATGCGCCCCATCCAGCATAAAGCAGCGCAGCTCAGCTATGGCTGCCTGCTCCTTCCAGCTCGCCCGTGAGCGCGTGAGCGCTGGCAGGCGTTAGCGCAGCATGCAGCCAGTGCCCAAATGAGGAATGCGTGGGCAGGCACTTTCCTAAATGGAAAGTGCCTGCCTACTGCGTGAAGCCTGGCTGCGCTGGGCCCCTGCCCAGAAGCTTCCGGTAGGCTTAGAGGGGCTGTGCCCTAGTCCAAACGAATCAGGCCCTGGGCCTCTGGTGGTTGCCCTTGTCCAACTGCCCTCGGCCTGTGTTCAGTCCATGTTGCGTATCTGGCCCAGGGCCTGCCTCAGTTACATACGAAAAAGGCAGCCTGGGCCTGGGCGCTCTTAACCAACTGGCGCTGCGCAACTGCCTGAATTTACCCAGTTGCGCGGTGACCCCAAAAATAGGCCTGTAGGCCCTGGGTCGAGCCTGGCTTCACTTAGGGCGGCCGGCTGTACAGAAAATAGGGCCCAGTAGGGCAGATCGGGAGCTTGAGCCTCGCACAGGGGAAGCTCAAAGTTTAATGCGCACTTCAACATTTGGGGGCCAGAGGCACCAAAATGATCAGCCAAAGCAGTCAGTGAACTTTGGCTCTTAGCGGAATCCCATTAATAATCTATCCTCACACAGAAAGGTGGAGCGAAGGACAGAAAAGAAAAACAAAAAAAAGAAAAGGAAAAGAAAAGACGAAATGTATGGCCCTAGTGCTCCCCTTTTCTCGAACCCCAACAGCACGACCACGCCCACTCCTCATCTCATCTTTTTTTAATTTTATTTTTTTCACACAGCAGCAACTCCTTTTTCGGGCTGCCCTCCCACAGCATTGGGCACTGGCCACGGACAGGTTCGGCAGGGGAAGCTCAAAGTTTAATGCGCACTTCGACATTTGGGGGCCAGAGGCACCAAAATGATCAGCCAAAGCAGTCGGTGAACTTTGGCTGTTAGTGGAATCCCATTAATAACCTATCCTCACACAGAAAGGTGGGGCGAAGGACAGAAAAGAAAAACAAAAAAAAGAAAAGGAAAAGAAAAGAGGAAATGTATGGCCCGACTATGATGCAACCAAAAAGTCACTGGTTGAAAAAACAAAAATAACAAAGACGAAGAGTGGACTTATAAACTAGGAAGATTTTCATGACCGGCCGGTCTGGAGCGGCCAGTCACCCGGGCATGGGAAAAAATAAAAATAAAAAAACGGCAGTGGTTTTTTTCCACGCTCTCGGAGAGGAGCCCAAATCCGGGCTCTTTTCTTTTTCTGAGTGTTGGGGCTAAAGGGGTTTAAAGGGGGGTACCTTAGTGTGATTTGGTTATTTTCTTTTTTATCTTCAGTTCCGTGAGGAATTCTGATGTGACCCTCAGCCAAAAGTTGTTTGTATTGCAACTCTACACAGAAGTGAAAACATATTCTTTTCCTCAGATTCCTTTTTTTTTTTTTTTTTTTTTTTTTTCTGCGCTGGGGCTGCCGGGGCCCATGCCCGGGGGTCATGCCCGGCCGGTCACCCGGTCGCCAAACCGGGCGTGACGTCAGGAGCCGGGCGCCCGGGATATCTGCTGCAGCCAGTCAGTTGTCAGTGTTGGTAAATCGCAGCAGAGGCATTCAGGTTAAGGAGAAGTCCCTCAGTCATCTACCCGTGATGGAGGAAGGCTGTGAGTGGGATTTCATCATATGTACGTACTGCACCTTGCAGGAGGCCAAGGCTGTGATCGGGATTTCAAAAAGCGGTGAAAACAGAGTGTTTACCCTTTCAGATGCCTCTTTTTTAGCATCGGGCTTATCTTCACTACATTTATCAGTTTTTGGATAATGTGACAACATCCCAAGTCTACGCACCCATAAAATAGGCATTTTCACAAGATGGACTCCATTACAAAAAAATAGTCGCTACTGACCTGAGCATTTTGGGATCCCCTGAAAATGTCGAGCAAGTGCTGCAGCGTGTGCCGTTCCTTAGTCTGCAGGACGAGTGTAACCTGCGAATAAAAGAGAGGGAAACAAACCCAGACATATTGTGAGAAAATGATCGTGCACTCTACAACACATCGGTTCTGAAAACTCAGCATCCCTGACCAACACTTGGAATGTCCTTCCCTACAAAGGAAAAGAAAGGAATCACAGGAGTCATCTTCCTGACTCCAGTTGCTTTACTGAAAATAGAAAATCTGTATCATAAATCTACGATTCTACGTACAATATCCTTGGCGACGTTTGTGATGTCCTCCTCGGTATATGTCACATTCTTGCTGCAGTTATCACATGTCTTCTTGCAAGACGAAGCATCAAAAGTCTCGCCGAAATATGCCAACTGCATCGTCCGTCTGCAGTCCACGTCATTCTCACAATATGACACCTATCAGAACAACAGTACAAAAACAAACAACAAGGAACAGCAGTTAAACACACCCACACAGAAACAAGCATACATTTTTCCACCAGGACATCTTTTACCATCCAGAACGTTTCGAAAAGCCATTCTAATCTTTTTCCTTGGCAGATCAGCAGTTAATGCATGTCTCTGATTTTTTCGGAAATTTCAGTCAAACATTATGCGCAAAAGATCGCCAAACACAAGGCCCTCAAAATTTGACTCACTGCCCTTTCGTGGCAGATCAGCAGTTAATCCTTGTCTCTGATTTTTTCAGTAGTTTCCATCAAACATTATGCGCAAAAGATTGCCAAAGACAGGGCACTCAAAATTTCATTCACTGCCCTCCCCCCCCTGCCCTCGCCCCCCTGCCCCTCCCCCCAACCTTGTGCCCAAAATTTGAGTGCCCTGTGTTTGACTCAGTGCCCTTCCGTGGCAGATCAGCAGTTAATGCACATCTCTGATTTTTTCAGAAGTTTCCGTCAAACATTATGTGCAAAAGATTGCCGAACACAGGGCACTCAAAATTTCACTCACTGCCCTCGCCCCCTGCCCTCCCCCCCAACCTCGCGCCCTCTCCTCTCCCCTGAGCAGCAGCATGTATACCACCTGAGACCCGTTGCATGTATATTAACTGAGACCCGTTGACATTGGGACCAGTGGTTGCTCAAAAGTGAGAGGCAACGAGTGCCAAGAACACTACAAGACAATAACAGAACTATCTTTATCTTACCATCCGTAACAGGTTCTCCAGATTGGTGGCCACCTGCGCAGTAGACCCTTCCGAAAAACTCTTGTTGCCATAACTTCTTTCTTGCTCTGCTGTGAGCATATGTTTCAATCGGATCTGCAAAACAAGCCCCAGTGCTCTGTCAGTCTCCTCAAAGCCTGAACCTTCATGTGCATAATTAAAGGCTGTAGGTATCTGAATCCAGGATTCAAACAAGAACAAATATCAAATAAGTTTCCAAAAGACTAATCGACGTGATGAAAGAGTAAAAACTACACTTCGATAAAAATACAGTCAAACAATTAACTCTGAACTTGAACTGTTGAAATACAGACACGAGTTTGAATTCCAATGGAATAAGATCAGTAAAAATAACTCTGAATTTAACTGAGGCCAGTCAGTGTAAAGCAGTGCTGGGCCGGCAACCGGAGCTGGACCAGCCCAGGGGGGGTGGTCCGGCAAACCGGTTTTGAAAACAAAGTGCCCAAAATTCCCCAAATAATGGCAAAATATCTTTTTTTTGTTTTTTCCTGACAGCTTCCGACTGCGCTCTTTGAGAGCTGTCGGAATCCGGAGTAAATTTTTTGAGCGTGCCATATTTTTCAGGGGGCAGGGGTTTATTAACTTATTATTGACATATTCAGGCAACTACGGCTTCCACGGGGAGGGGTTGAGTAAGCAAGTTCACTTGTTTGACCCCCCCCCCCGGCTGGAGCATTTCGTGGAGTGGGTCATCTCATATTGATACCCCACGAGCTGAACCAGATATGATGAGAGGAGGTCCTTGCCAGAACTTAAAGCTCTTCCAGATTGTAGCTCGACAGCAGAAGAGTTATGGGTCCAGCTTTCAGCTCATGGAGGCAGAGCATTTTCTGTTTGTTCTTAGGTGCGTTATCAGTCCAGAAGTATCTTGCCTGGCTGTCTGTCCAGATACATGTAGTCGAGCAAGGTCCATTCGATATAGATAGAGAGAAGAATATAGCTTAGGTCCATTCTTGGGCTTGCACCTCGGACGGCTCTGACATCACGATTCCGACATCCGAACCCATAACTTTTTCCACAGATGGCAGGGACGCTGCAGAAGGATATAATCTCAGCAGAGCCTCAACACAAGCATAGTATTCCCCTCGTGGCTGAGGGTGAAAGAGCCGCAGATGGCAAATTGGAGAAGGGGCATACCCGACCCACATCTTAAACCACCGGTAATTGGCCCAGCTATTGATGCCGAGCCTGGAATGCCCCTGCGCACCAATTTTTGCGCAAGCGCCGGGGTACCGTTTCAATCTTTTTTTGGCTGGCTCTTCCAGCGATTGTGGTCTGGTACCCTGAAGGCCAAAAGGCCCGGCGCGTTAACGGGGAAGCGCTGCGACCGATAGCTGGGCCAAGTACTGGTGGTTTAAGAAAAAGTGTGGCGGTTCTCTGCTGCTGATCTGCAAAGATCAGCGGCGGATATTGTCTGCCCGTTTTCTTAAGAAATGGGGTCCAGGATGCCCCATTTTTTATTTATTTTTTCACAGGCAGGGGCCTCCTTGGGGCTGGGCAATCGCGGGGATGCCCGTGACTCCCTTGTACCCTCCCCCCCCCTAGTGCAATGCGTTGGACTCAATCGGGAGTCTGCCGGCCCGGTCCAACCGGTAGCCTCCCGGTCGGGGGAGGGGCCCCCGGTTCAACCGGGGATCAGCCCTGGTGTAAAGATTATTATTATTATTATTTTTAAAACACATGTGCCCCTTCTATTCAGTCCCATTGCTTATCACCAGCAAACATGTTTATGCAGAAAGATAGAAAATTGATCCAGAGGAAAAGTGTCAGCCACCCTCGTAGCAC